GATCTCAACTTACAGTACTGAAAGCAGATTTTTTTATTAGCATCATTGATTAGGAATCTATGATGAGCTATTTCTGTTCACAGAGACAGAGTTTTGCGAAAGATCATTGTAAAGTAGTAACAACATTTTAGAGAACCAGGATTGGTGAGTGGGAGCTACTGTCTGTTGATCATTTTGATGTGATGGGACTTATTTATCTCATTACCCTAGACAACATTCTTTTGTGGTAAGAATTTTTTCCCATTTTACGTAAGAGTAGAGGCTCAAGAAGCTTATTTTTCTTGCTCAAGGTCCCATGTAGTGATGAGTTGGAATGCTTGATTGCAAAGCTTATCTTCCACTTTATTGAGCTGCCTTCCAGGAAGCCGGAAGGAGAAAGATAATTTTATTGAAATAAATAAGGTTGACTTTAATTTATCAATCTGTATTTGCTTTATTTTAATAATATCACAATATATTCTGAAGGTCACTTTACCTAGTGTAGTAATATTAATCAGTGCTGTTGCAGTCCCATCTAAAACTACAAATTACTCTTTCTTATAATGAATGAAATCTGCTTTCCTATCATTTCTACCTACTGGGTCTTGTTCTGTTCTTTGGAACTAAACAGAACAATCACTTACCCTCCTTTTCGAAGTAGAAAATAAAGATTTGGTTTTAGAAAAAAAAAAACACTACAAATTACTTCTAAATGGATAACTTATAAACAGTACTTGAGATTTATTAAAAGTCTATCTGTAAGCGAAATAAGCAAGTCTCCAGAAGACGAATACTGTATAAGTCTACTTATATAAAATATTTAGAATAGTCTAAATCACAGTTAGAGTGATGGTTGCCAGGGGCTGGAGGGAAGGAGGGAATGGCAGATTAGTGTTTAACGGGTATAGAGTTTCAGTTTTACAAGATGAAGAGTTCTGGAGATGGATGGTGGTGCTGATAGCACAACATTATGAATGTATTTAAAACTACTGAGTGATACACTTAAAAATGGTAAAGATGGTAAATTTTAAGTTATGTATATTTTAACCACAATAAAAAAAAATTAGGAGAAAAAACCTATTTGGAAAGGTAGACTTTTATGCTTTATGAGAATTCGTAAAGATTGCCATCTTCAAATTTAGCATAATAGATTGTATCTGTTATATGTAATGTTTTAAAGTTTTTTATATATGTAGTTTTTTAAATTAATAATAATTTATTTTGCAGTTATAGTTGGCATATACTATATTAGTTTCAGGTATACAACGTAGTGATTAGACATCTATATAACTCACAAAGTGATCACTCCAGTAAATCTAGTACTCATCTGACACTGTACATAATTATTATCATATTTTTGGCTATTTTCCTTATGCTATACTTTCTATCTCCATGGCTATTTGTAACTACCACTACCAATTTGTACTTCTTAATCCAGTCCCCGTTTTTCACCGACCCCCACAACCCTCCTACTATTTGGTAATCCTTAAAATGTTCACTGTATCTATGAATTTGTTTCTGTTTCCTTGATTCCTTATATACGTGCCATCATATGGCATTTGTCTTCCTCTGTCTGACTTACTCTACTCAGCACACTAACCTTTAGGTCCATCATGAAATATTTTTTTTCATCCCCTTACTTTTAATCTATGTGTGTCTTAATCTGAAGTGAGTCTCTTGTAGGCAGCCTGTGTAATGGTTTTATTTTCTTGCCTATTTCTCACCCTGTCTTTTGATTGGAACATTTAATTCCTTCTCATTTGAAGTACTCATTGATATATATGTAGTTATTGCCATTCTTTTTTTAGACTTTTGATACATATTTTTTTATTCTTCTTAAAGAAGTCCCTCCAGCATTTCCTATAATACTGGCTTGGTGGTGATGAACTCGTTTAGCTTTTTCTTGTCTAAGAAGCTCTTTATCTGTCCTTCAATTCTAAATGATAACTGTGCTGTGTCTTGGTGTGGGCCTCTTTGGGTTCATCTTGTTTGGGATTCTCTGAACTTCCTGGGGTTGTATGTCTATTTCTCTCACCAGGTTAGGGAAGTTTTTCATCACTATTTCTTGAAATAGATTTTCAATTCCTTGCTCTCTCTCTTCTCTTTCTGGTACTCCTATGATACGAATGTTGTTATACTTAAAGTTGTCCCAGAGGCTTCTTAAACTATATTTATTTTTTTGTATTCTTTTTTCTTGTTGCTGTTCTGATTGGGTATCCTCCACTATTCTATCCTCTAAATCACTGATTCGATCCTCTGTTTCATCCATTCTGTTGATTCCCTCTAATGTACTCTTCATCTCAGATATTATAGTCTTCATTTCTGTTTGACTCTGTATTATGTTTTCCATCTCCATTTTTATGGTTTTTTTTGTATCTCTGTTAAATTTCTCATTGAGTTCATCTACTCTTCCCCTAAGTTCCTTGAGCATCCTTATTGCTGGTGTTTTGAACTCTGCATCTAGTAGATTGCTTGTCTCCATTTTAGTGAATTTTTTTTCTGGAGTTTTGTTCTGTTCTTTCATGTGGGACATGCTTCTTTGTCTCCTCACTTTGGCTGCCTCCCTGTGTCTGTTTTTATGTATTAGGTAGGGCTCTTAAGTCTCCCAGTCTTAGTAGAGTAGCTTTAGATAGGTGTCCTCTGGGACTCCTTGGCACAGACCTGAGAGGAGTCCAGCTGCAGGCTAAGTTCAGTCACAGCCTGTGCCCTTCTGAGGCCACCAGGTAAGAGATAGGTGCCTCAATAGGTCCAAAACTGAGGCTGACTGCCACTGATACAGGGCTTGAGGCCACTCAGCAAGAGGTATAGGGCATGCTGAGGCCAGATGCTCCTTCTTTGGGTTTTGTGAGGCTTTGAGAGATTTTATGAAAGTTCTTAGCAAGAGCCGGGACAGCCCATTTGTGTGGAATAAATCATTGGAAGTGACTTGGGTGGGCCACAAGTTGGGACAGGTGGAGTCTCGGAATCCCCTGGGTGGAATGACTTGTGTTATCCAGCTTGATGGCTCCTACCTCTGCTGTGGCCAGCTGAGAGGGCTCAACGAAGGGAAAATAGCTTATGCCTGGAGCTTTGTCTGTGAACCAGCCGCCCCTCCAGCCCTCTCCCTGAAGTCCAAGAGCTCAGTGCCTCCCTATATGTCCCCGGTGCCCCTCGAGCAGCTGCCCCAGCACTGGAGCTCTGAGTGAGCAAGACCGTTAGCAAGTAAGGCCAGGTGTGGTCCCTTTAAGAAGATCATCTACAACTCCCACAGTCCTCATCTCACTCAGCCGCAACCTCCGCTGGTTTTCACATCCAGAGGTTGTGGGGACTTCTCTTCTTGGCATTGGAACCCTGAGCTGGGGAGCCCAGTGTGTGGCCGGACCCTTCATTCCTCAGGTAGGGGAGAGGACTCTGCAGCCAGGATAGCCTCCTGATTCTCTACCGCCACACGTGGTTGTAGGCCTGGGGCGTTTCACATCTCTACCCCTCCTACCATTTTGAGGTGACCTTTTATTTGAGGTGACCTAGTTGTAGGGCTTGTTTTCAGCCAGACCTCTAGTGACTTCCTGTACTGGTTGGTTGCTCTGTAGTTTTGTTATAGTTTTGGTGTGGTCACCAGAGGAGGGCTGTATAGCCTTTACTTTCTATGACATCTTGAATCTCCTCTGTATGTAGTCATTTAAGATATTTATGTAAGCAAAAATGATAAGTGAAATGTCTAGTTAAGCAAAATATATGTGACATTGAGGGGATCCTTTGTGTTACGCTTCAACTAGAAATACCTAAGGAATTTTATATTTTCCACAAAAAATTCTTTTAAAGGTCTGAGTTTTATTTTGGTTAGGTTCATCTCAGAAGAAAGTGTTTTATATGGCCTAAATGAAAATTATTTTTGTCAGTTTTAAAAGTTGAAAACTAATCAAAGAATCTGTAAGATACAGAAATGTGTAACCTTTTGTTTTTCAAAGGTATTTTAAAGACCCATTGATGCTATAATATTCACTTTTCTTGGCCTTAATTAATAAGCTTATCTTTGAATTCAGAATTTTTTGCTTGCAAAAATGAAAACAAACAGCTCATCCCTCTCTTTATAAAACTTGTCAGTGGTAGAAAACAGTGATATGAACAACTGAAGAAGTACTAGAAATGTGTCTATAAATACATTCTGAATGGGACGGGTGAGGAGTGTCATATTTGGATTCAGTATTTTAAATGAAATGACGAAGTTCTCCAAATATGTGAGGCAGGAGAAATTAGTAAGTTGTCATATATCTTGTCCAATTTTTCCTTTCTTTTCTCTCTTCGCTTTCATTTTCTATTCTGTGCTAGAGACCAAGACCTTCCTTTTACTCCATAAGAATAGCTTGTGCCCAGTATTTTTGGTATATTCATAGCTTTCTTAAGTTGGAGGATATAAATCTTTTGATAATAACAGGCCTTCTCTTGGGCTATAGTTTGCATGAAAATAAGAGACCATGAAGGTCAATATCAAAAGACATTATCACTGATCTTGACAACCTTTCAGGTTTCCTTTTCTATCATGGCAAAAATGTTTCTGGGATATTTCCTTCCTAGCCGCCCAACCAGAAGATAAGGAGGACACAGCCTGCATTAATGGTTTTATATTTAGATAAGCCTCAGTTCCAATCACATCTTCTCCATAGTAGTGGTATAAACTACCCAAGCCTCAGATTTCTTGTCTTTAAATATCTCCCCAGCCTCCTATCTTTGATAGTTTTGATTTTATATTTTCTGACTTAATAATTAAAATACTACCCATAATTGTAATGGCTTCTCTTTGGGGTTTCTTGTGGGGATGATGAATATGTTCGAAAATTGACTATGGTGACAGATGTACAATTCTGTGAAGATACTAAAAGCCACTAAATTGTACACTAGAGTCTCTGGATCAAGAAGTTTTATTAAAAGTTAAAACTGAAATTGAAGAAGAACTAAAATCCCTGGACAGAGAAATTTCTGAAGGTCTGTTTATTTTTATTTTTCTAGTTAATTAGTAGATCGTTTGGTGCGGTTTACTATTGGCTTAATTTGATTTTTTACAGTAGCATGTCCTCCACATTAGACAGCTTCATTGGTTAGCATTAAAAGGATGAAACTAGAGATATCTTTTTTCTTTCCTGGGGGATATGTTTCTAAATGTTTTCCAACTATACCCAACCAGCAGTTTAAATATGGCCTTTTCTGGTGTTAAGTGATGGGCTAAACAATCATGTTAAGATACTTTTCATTCAGTGAGGTTTTATTTGTATTTGGTATCTTTATAATTAATAACAATGTTAAATGGAAAAATGTAAGTAAACTGCTTTCATTTTTGCATTCATATATGCTATAGGTAGTTGTAATAGTAATGTACATGTAATTTTATGGCCACATATTTTGTACTTTACGTCATAAACTTAAAATAGTTATCATTCTACTAACTATATGAAATTCCTTATATTTTGAATGACTGTTCAGTCATTCCCTTATTATTGAGGGGAGTATTTAGGTTATTTCTTGTTTTGCTTTCCAGAAGTCAAGATGCATTGAACATATTGCCGAATGAGTTCTTTTACAGTTTTATTGAGATATATTTCATGTTCCATAAAATTTACCCAAAATGTACAGTTCAGTAGTTGTTAGTATACTTTTACAGAATTGTGCAACCATCACCACAATCTAAATTTAGAACATTTTTAACATCCCCAGAAGAAACAGTATACACATTAGCAGTCAGTTCCCATATCTACTCCCACTAACCCCCACCACCATCCCGACCCAAGGCAACCACTAATCTGCCTCTGTTTCTATGCATTTGTCCATTATGGATATATAATTAAATGGAATCACACACTATGTGGTCTTTTGTGACTGGCTTTCACTTAGCATAGTGTTTTCAAGGGTCATCCATGTGGTAGCATTTATCAGTACTTCATTCCATTTTGTGGTAGAATAATATTCCATTGTGTGGATATACCACCTTTTGTTTATCCATGCATCAGATGACGGGCATTTAGGTTGTTTCCTTGTTCAGCTATTATGTATAATGCTGCTATGAATATTCTTGTACAAGTTTTTATGTGGATACATATTGTTCAATAATTTTTAACAAGAAAAATTATAAATCATGTTTATAAATCAGTTCCCTTTTAGTAGAGAATGCATAATAGAAATTTACAAGTACTCAGAAACCTAATTTTAATCTTCTCTTATTTTCCTTCACCAACATTTTTAACTGATTAAAGTTCCAATTGTATTTTTAGCCTTTCTCTCTCTTTTTTTTTTTTTGATGCCTCCCGCCTGCCTCCTCTTTCCTCCCACCCCCACGACCTGAACCTTCCTCCTTTTGTGATAGCAGTACTTATATATAGTAAAATGGGCAGAAGGCCAAAAGAAAAAAAGCAACAAAGGCTTAACCCTCATATTAATTAAGACTGAGCATTATAATGGATGCCCTCAAGTTTGCTCAGACAGCAAAATATTTGTGAACTTTGCAGCCATTTGCATCTTTCTTGGAGATAAGCACTTTATAAAGAAATAGTATACTTAACTCTGTAGTAAATTTTATAGCTTTCGAGGAGTATGCCTTAGATTAACGCAGTTAAAGCTTTATGGAAGTTATCGATAACTCTTGGGAGTTGGGTGCAAGCCGCTTGCTTTACTGGGTTTCTATACCCTGCATCCTGTTTGTACCACGAAACAACAATAATTCTGCCTGTTCTTCCTGCAGTTAGAGAATGGCTAAGTCCATATAAGCAGATGGGAGGCTGGTAGTTTGAGCTGATGAGGAATAGACTACGACTGCTTCTTCCATGTGCAACTTATGGACTTGTATATCCTTCATAGTTTTAAAATTTATCCATATGCAGGACTATTGAGCTAGAAAGTTCATTTTAAAAAGGGAATGAAAGTAATTGACTCATCATCTAAGGTGGAATAAACTGATTAGAGTCTGCTTTAAGAGGTGCCATATTTATAAAGGTTAAAAACAAATCTTAAAAACAAAATATTAAGAGAGGGATGATAGGTCTAGGAGTTGCCTTTCATTTATCATTCTTATACTAAGTTGGTCTGTAGTGATATACTGAATTTGTGCATTTTAACATTTCAGTTTAGCCTTTTTCTTCTCTTAAAACTAAGACTTTCCATAAAAATCTTCCCTTTAAAAAAAAATCTCTAAATTTAGGACCGATCCAGTTTTGTGTTCTAGGAAAGATTATCCAACCTTACTTTAAGTGGCTTATAAGTTAGTTTATAGTAGATGTCTTAATCCCCTGAGCTTTTATAGCACAACTTTTGATATTGTTAATTAAATTAGGTTTTCTTTTGCCCTGTCTTCAGCCTTCACCAGCACAGGCTTTGATCGTCACACTTCTCCAGTGTTCAGCCCTGCTAACCCAGAAAGCTCAGTAGAAGACTGCTTGGCTCATCTTGGAGAAAAAGTGTCACAGGAACTCAAGGAGCCTCTACATAAGGCATTGCAAATGCTTCTCAGCCAGTGAGTTACCATTGCTGTCTGGGACCTTCTCTAGTAGTCTCTACATATCTCGTGCAGCACTGGATTGATTAAGGCTTTGTATTATGTGAACAGTGTCACTTTTCTTCTTTGCCTCTCCCAAAGCATCTCTCTTTGTGTTTTGAGTGACAGCTTTTGCATCAAAGCAGTGATTTAACTGTTCCAACATGGATTTGATCATTTGTATTTTCTTGTTGAGCTATCAGGTTTCAACAAATACTTTCACTGAGTCGTAAATACAAACTATTTTATTTTTCCTGACCACTTTTACTGCCATTCTCTCTAGTGGCCAACATAAATATAATGGCTAGGATTTTATGTCTTGCAATGTGGGATTAACATTTATATCTGTATTTTAGGTATCCCAGATGTCGCTAATCTTTTGGGTTGTGCATCTGCCCATGAAACTATTGCCACATTCTTAAAGTGGGAACTTCTCTCCTAGCTATGGTTCTGACTGTTAAAACTAAAGGCAAGAAGTTCATAGTGAAAGTATGTTAAAATAGAACTAAGTAATTTATTGTAAATCTGAAAAATTCATTTCCCCTAATTGTTTGCTGAGAATCATCAAGTAATTGGTACGAATTTGAAAAGTATTTGTTTTAATGAAGGTTGACAACCATCTAAAACAGGATTAGACTGTTCTTTCACTAAAAGGGCCAATATTCAGATGCTAAATTACTGTTGAACGTAATTCCTTACTTTTGTGTAGGCACAGTTTATACATTACCATTTATTAGAAGGAAGCAATTTGAGTTTAAGGAGAATTCAATTTGTTTAGATTCTGATGGCATGAGCAAATGTCACTATCCAAATTATACATAGGAGACAGCGAAATGAAAATCATATTTGGATTTTCTTAACCAGTTCAAAAGTTTAAAAATAAGTGTGGAAAGGACAGAACATTATGGGTGTTGGGAAATAAAACTTAATAGGAGATTTAGATATATGACAGTGACTTTCAGAGTATTCTGTGGAGCCTTTGGGGCCCTTGTAGAGGTGAGGGACAAGGGTGAGTGGGTGAGGCTTGTAAGGGCCTCTCCATTCTTCTTAAACCAGAATAGCTATACTTTAACATATTTTATATATTAATGTTTTATATAAGAATTGAAGAAATTTACTATTTTGCCAAAACAAACAAAACTTTTAAAAGCTAATGGGACTCGGAGTGAAATAACTGAGACGTATAAGAAAAAAATTGTTTCCAGTTTTGATACAAATTATTTGTAGCTTTGAGCAAACTATTTCACTCCCTATCTCAATTTATCCATCTGTTAATTTTAACTTTACAGGGATATTATAAGCTCTCTGAAGAACAATATTTTGTAGTTTTTTTAAAAAGTATTGTTTTTGGAGTCCTTTTCATAATATACAGGAAAAGTTGATGTATCTTACTGCAAAGTAAACTTTTTGAAATCTTGTCTTTGATGAATATTTAATTTGTTTTTTTTTTTCTCTCCAAACCTTGAATACTGATATAATTATTTTGAAATTGGTACTTCTGGTTGTATATCAGAGTTAGGCCTCAGAATAAATTTTTTTTTCAGAAATCTTTTTTTTCTTTTTTAGTATTGCATTTATTTTCGGTATTTTTCTTCTACTTAAAGATAAATATTTTTACTATTAAGACACGTGTTAAGATGTTTTCTTTATACAATCTAAAAGATATCAGATGCAACTTTCAAATGGTAAATAGTAAAGCCAGAGGTCTTTTATTTATTAAGGAATATGAAACTTAACATATGCTCCCTTTTAGCAATCAAGAAGAAATGTTCCAGTAGATTTTAGCCAATTTTGAAGAAAATAAGTGTGATTGATTATTAGAAATCTACTTTAGAAAGTTGTTAAGTGCTGTTACTAATACCTTCAAAATAACTATCTGATGATGAACTAGAAGTTATACAGGTTGATGGTAATATCCTTTAAGGTGGAAAATAGCCACCTACTCTTCCAATTTTGTTAAAGTGGGAATTTTAATGCTCATCTTTTCCTGTAGGGGAGACATTTCAAAAGATTCCCTCCTAACCCCCTTTTTCTTTTTTGTTATGTCCAAGTAGCTCATCAGATAGGGCTGATTTTCCAGCTACTTACTTTTCTATGTATTAGATTTCCTCTAAATGTTTTAATCTGCTGGATTGTTTATGTGCGTATATGTGTGTACATATAATGTTTCAAATCATGTTTCATTCTGAAGGATGCTAAAGTACTTTAGCCTGATAGACAAACTACCAATAAGGACTACTGTGACCCACAGCAGCATCAAACAGTTCAGGAAAGGAAGTGAAGGGACTGATATACGCAAGTAAAGCTTCAGGGGAAATATAGGTAGGTAGAATGTACAGTATCTGCTGAAGTTCAAGTTTTACAACCACATAGTATTTAGCCCAGGTCTTTTAAAAAATACTAAGCTTACTTTGATGGGAATATGATATTAAGAAGGTAGTACATAACATCTTAAAAAGGTCATCCCTGACATCTTATTTCAGTAGCACTGTAGTATTGATTTTGACTTGTATAAAAGAATGCCTGTGTCATCAGAACTGTTTTCTGAAATATCCAGACTAACGCTGTCCAATAGATATAATGGAAGTCATATATACATAATTTATAATTTTCTAGCAGCCACATAAAAAATTAAATTATGATTTTCAATAATATATTTTATTCGACTTAATATATTTAAATATTATATTTTAACATATACTCAATATAAAGACTTATTAATGAGAGATTTTACATTTTTTTCTCTTGCTAAATCTTTGAAATCTAGTGTGTATATTGCGTTTTCAGCACATCACTAGCTGTATATCAGATGCTCTTTAGTCATATGTGGCATCTAGACATAATCATGGCTTCTGCCAAAATCCTTTTAGAATAGGAGCAGTGTGGCCTTTGCAGCCAAATCTAATTGAGTGTGAATTCCTAAGTCCCTGCTTGCCAACTATGTGGATTTGGGATAGTCTCTTAGCTTTTCTGAGCTTCAGTTTCCAAATATATAAAATGATAATATTAAATATATAAAATATAAATATAAAAAATATAAAACCTAACAGTAGGCTACCAATGAGTGGTAGCTGTTACCAATCTTCTATATTTACAGGCTGAAGAGATCACAGAACAGAGTGGTCAGAGCAGAAAATGACTTTGGAATGGATTTTAAAATAAGACTTCTCTCCCTTTTTTACATATATGTTAATAATTTTTACTTCCCTCCAGAAAAGAGGAGAAGTAAATTTTATTAACTCTATTATCCAAGCTGTTGATGCCTTCATGTTACTTGATTACCAAGTATTTTTGGTGGTGTTGCTGTTAATTTGCACATGAAACCGATAACTTAAAATATACTTAAACTTCCTCAATAAATGAGTGAGTGAGCATTGTCATCACTCAATGATTTGAGTTTTGGTATGAATAGAACTTACATGGAAAATAATCAGAAAGATTTCTCTCTCTGCTTTCCAGGATTTTATGTCATAAGACTCCAAGTTAAAAATAGAGCTCCATTTATTGTCCTTGTTTATTCCAGCTCCGTATATCCTCAATTTGAAAAGTCTTCCAATGACATGTCTCTTTAATTTTAAAATATTTTAGATTTTTTTGCCTTTTAAAAAAGTTAAAATTGTGCTTTATTGAAATAATTTTTATTTGTTATTATTTGATCCCATAGTAATAATCCAAGTATTTGTTTATGTACAACATAGAAATACTGTTGGATAAGTTTCAATTGTAAAAAAATTTATTAATATTTATTATTAACTTATTATGTTGTTAACTGCTTTCCCAAACTGGTAGCATGCATCTCATCCTATAGAGAATGCTTGAAGAAAAATGCATACTAAATGTTAAAAGCCACATTTCATACAAAACATTATGTTGAATAATCTTTGTTATTTCCACAAAAAGTTCAAAAGTAGAGTAGTGAATGTATATTTATTCATCTGGAAATTTAGAATTTTCCTGCTTAGTGACACAGACTTTTAAAAAAAATCTCTACAGGCCAATGACATATCAGGCATATCGGGAATGTACACTGGAGACTACAGTTCATGCCAGCGGCTGGAATAAGGTATTAACCAAATTCTCTTTTCTCTTACATGATTTAGTGTGTTAATGATAAAGTTCAGGAAAAATTGTTAGTGTCATATAAGAGAAAACCATCAGAGCTAATTTTTTAATGCATAAATGTCCAGTGTTCAGTGGATATTTTTGAGTTAAATGGATTTTTGATTAATGCTGTAAGGTTCTGCTTGGCCTAAAAGTATGTGTCCTGTAGTATGCCGCTCTTCTTTCCTATCTATCCTAATTTCCCATCATTTCTTCATTTCTCTGTTAGACATGACATTTATCTTTAGATGGTTATGCGTTGAGTATGTTTGTGGGGAAAAGAATTAGGGCTTCATTTGGGAGACAGCTTCTTCTGGTTCTGTTAAATGAATAATAATACAATTTGTGTTTTAGAGTTTACAAAGTATTTCATGTCACATCTCATTTGTCACAACCATCCTTTGCAGAAGACAGGGTGGATTTTATTAGCTTTTGTTTTGTTATTTATTTATCTCGTTAGGTCAGGTGAATAATCAGAGAAAAAAATTAAATAACTTGCCTAGGACCTCTAGACTAGTAAATATTGGAATTAATACTAGAGCTAAGATCTTCCGATTCCAGCTTCAGTGTTTTTCTTCCACTGTACCATACTGCTTATTCATTATCTTAGACTGTATTATCAACTTATCACCTTGAAAAGGCAGAGTCCAAGGGAATGCAGTATAAGATGGCTCAGCTCAGTTTGAAGAAGTATGACCCCTAGTGATAAAGTGCTAGGGATGAGAAAATTTGTAGAATTATTTTTCAAAAAGCCAACTTTCTCAGAATTGTTAATGAGTCAGACCATGTGAACTTACAAACCTAATCAATGTATATTATTTTTACTCACCTTAATAGAAGCTTTGGAGGCATTATACCATGATAATTAGCATCATAGGCTTTGTAATCAGACTTGTTTCAAATATTAGCTTTGCCAAAGACTAGGCACATGTCTTTGGACAGGTTAATTAAGCTCTCTAAATCTTAATTTTCACATATGTGAAATGGAGATGATAATTCTAACCTCCTCAGTTTTATTAGAATTAGCTCATTTCCCATTTGTTCTGAGAATACTCATTGGCAGTGCTTGCATCTGCAGCGTTTACCCCAAAATAATGTGCCTTACCTAACCTTACCCACAAAGTTTGCCACAAAGTTCGCTCTAGTATATCAATAGTCTTTGGACACAAGTGACATCATTCTAGTTATAGAGTTCTGTTTTTAGTAATGGTATCTCTATTTATGAAATATAGTAGTAATTCTCAATTGCTGAAAATGTCAAATTCTAGAAAATGTAGTATTCCTACGTGTAGTTTTAACATCATTCTCCAATAGTTGTTAGCTAAAGATTCATTTGATAAATCTACGTGTGGTTTAACATCATTCTCCAATAGTCATTAGCTAAAGATTCATTTGATTTGTGTGTACATTTCTGTTACATTAGGATAGAGACAAGTTCTGTTTAGAAATAACTCCAAGAACAGTTTTTATATTTTATTTTCACATTGAAAACTAGACAGATTTGCCTCAGCCTCAAAGAGTGTGTTTATGTAAAATTAAATTAATACTGGCAGTGAGCTGCACTTTTTTTTCTAAATGGGAAATGGCTTAATGATATAATATATGTTAAATGCTTATTTTTCATGTTGTCTAGCACCATAGTAAGTACTCTGTAAACAGTGGCTATTATATATTAGATTTAACACATGAGACCTTTTTCCCAAATAGTCACCATTATATAAGCTTGAGGTATACAATTTCATAATACATCACCTGTATATTCCATTGCGTGCTCACCACCCAAAGTCTAGTGTCCTTCTGTTGCCATATCGTTGACCCTCGTCACCCTTTTTTATCCTCCCTTACTCTCTTCCCCTCTGGTAAACTCTCTTATTTCTATGAGTTTGTTTTCTTGTTCCGTTTGTTTTTCTGATTTATATCCCATATATGAATGAAATCATATGGTTCTTGTCCTTTTCTTTTGATTTATTCTGCTTGATACTTTCAAGCATGATACTTTTAAGATCCATCCATGTCGTCACAAATAGCAGTATTTCATCTTTTCTTATGGCTGAGTAGTATTCCATTGCATATATGTACCCCATCTTCTTTAATCAGTCATCCATCAAAAGACATTCAGATTGTTTCCATGTCTTGGCTACTGTGAATAATGCTATGATGAACATAGGGATACTTAGATCTTTGCAAATAAATGTTCTCAAATTTATGGGGTAGATACCCAGAAGAGGGATTGTTGGGTCATATGGAAGCTCTATTCTTAAATTTTTGAGGAACCTCCATTCTGTCTTCCGTAGTGACTGTATCAATTTACATTCCTACTAGTAGTGTATGAGGGTTCCTTTTTCTCTACATCCCCTTCAGCACTTGTTATTTCTTGTCTTATTGATAATAGACATTGTAATAGATAGGTGGAATCTCATTGTGGTTTTGATTTGCATTTCCCTTATATCTGGTGAAGATGAGCATCTTTTCATATATCTGTTAGCCATCTGTATGTCTTCTAGGAAAAAGTGCCTGTTCAGGTCTTCTGCCCATTTATTGATGGAATTGTTTTTTGTTGTCATTGAGTTGTATGAGTTCTTAATATATTTTGAACATTAGCCCCTTACCGGAAGTAATGTTTGCAAATGTCTTCTACCAACTGGTTGCCTTTTTATTTCGTCAATGGTTTCTTTTGCTGTACAGAAGCTTTTTAGTTTGTTGTAGTCTCATTTATTTATTTTTGGTTTTATAACAGTGGTGAGAGTGGGCATCCTGATCTTGTTCCTGATCTTAGAGGAAAAGCTTTTTGTTTCTCACCATTTAGTATATTAGTCGAGGGTTTGTCATATATGGCCTTTATTATGTTCAGGCACTTTCGTTCTACACCCATTTTATTGAGTGTTAGAGTTATAAGTGGATGTTGTATCTTGTCAAATGCTTTTTCTGTGTTGATTGATATGGTTGTATGGTTTTCATCTTTTATTTAGTTGATGTGGTGTAATACATTGATGATTTACATTTGTCGAACCATTTTTGTATTGCTGGAATGAACCCCATTTGATTGTAATGTATTATCTCTCTGATGTATTGTTATATTCAGTTTGCTAGTTTTTGTTTAGGACTTGTGCATCTATGTTCATCAGAGATATTGGCTTGTACTTTTTTGTGTGTTGTCTTTGCCTGGTTTTGGTATCAGTGTAATGTTCACTTCCTAAAATGAATTAGGAAATATTGCCTCTTCTTCAGTTTTTTTGGAAGAGTTTGAGAAGGGTAGGTATTAAATCTTTTTGAGTAGTTGGTAGAATTCACCAGTGAAACTATCTGGTCTTGGACTTTTGTTTTTTAGGAGGTTTTTGATATTGTTTCAGTTTCCTTACTATTGATCAGTCTATTTAGGTTTTCCAGTTTTTCATGGTACAGTCTAGGAATGTTATATATTTCTACGAATTTGTTAATTTCTTCTAGGTTATCGAATTTGGTGGCAGGTATAGTCCTTTGTATTTCTATGGTGTCCATTGTAACTTCCCTTTCATTTCTGATTTTATTTATTTGAATCTTTTCCTTTTTTTCCTTATTGATGCTAGCCAGAGGTTTGTCAATTTTATTTATTTTTCATTGAACCAGCTATTTGTCTCATAAGTTTTTTTTACTGTCTTTTTGTTCTCTATTTCATTTAATTCTACTTTAGTTTTTATTATTTCCTTCCTTCTAGTGTCTTTGAGCTTCATTTGTCCTTCTTTTTCTGCTTCTTTAAGGTGTAATGTTAGATTGTTTATTTGAGATCTTTTTTGATTTTTGAGATAGGCCTGTAATGCTATAAACTTCCTTTTTAGTACTGCTTTTGCTACATCCCCAAAGGTGTGATATGTTGTATTGTCATTTTCATTTGTCTGTGTGTAACTTTTGATCTCTCGTTTCTTCTTTGACCCAATAGTTGTTCAGTAGCATGTTGTTTAATCTCCACATATTTGTGGTTTTCCCAGCTTTCTTGTAGTAGTTCAAGTTTCATACCGCTGTGGTCAGAAAATATGCTTGGTATGATTTAATTTTTCTTAAACTTGTTGAGACTAGTCTTGTGCTCCAACATATGATCTCTCCTTAAGAGTGTTCCATGTGCACATGTGAAGAATGTATATTCTGTCGTTTGGGGATGGAAAGCTCTCTATATATTGGTTATGTCTATTTGGTCTAATGTGTCATTTAAGGATGATATTTCCTTACGGATTTTCTGTGTAGTTGATCTATTCATTGCTGTCATTGAGGCATTCAGGTTGCCTACTATAATTGTATTTTTTTCATTTTCTCTCTTAGGTTTGTTAGTAATTACTTTATATATTTTGGTGCTCTCAGGTTGTATGCATATATATTGATAAGTGTTATGTATTCTTAATTGTCCCCTTTATCATTATAAAATGTCCCATCTTTGTCTGATATAGTATGGCTATACCCACTTTTCTCTGGATGCCATTTGCTTGGAGTATTGTCTTCCCCCGCTTCACTTTGAGTCTGTGTTTGTCTTTGTAGCTGAGGTCGATTTCCTGAAGGCAACATATAATTGGGTCTTGTTTTGTAATCCATCCTGCTACTCTTCACATTTTGATTAGTGAGTTCCGTTCATTTACAGTTAGGGTGATTATTATTATTTTTTTGTTCATTTTATTGGGGTAACATTGGTTAATACAATTATATAATTTTCAGGTGTACATTATCATTTGACATCTATATATTCTATTGTGATTACCACCCAAAGTCCAGTTTCCTTCAGCTACCATATTGTGATCCCCTTTGCCCACTTCACCCTACCCCTTCCCCCTATATTTGACTCTCTTTACACTATCTACCTCTCTCCTCCTCTCTCACCCCCTACCCTCTGGTAACCACTAGTCTATTGTCCATGTCCCTGAATTTCTGTTTGTTTGTCCTGTTCATTTGTTGCTTTTAGGTTTATATCCCACATATAAGTGATATCATGTGATTTTC